AGAAGGCCTGGTTGTTGGGGGGCGCTTGGTCCGTGGCAGAGACATTCATCAGGTAGCTGGTTTTGGTCTCGTAGTCCAGGTACTCTATCGTCGTGATGAGGCCCGTGCTCTCATCAATCTCAAACTTCCCTTCTGCGCCCGACACGATTTTGTAGTTCACCAGACCACCGTTCCCTGGGGAGGGAGCAGGAACCATGGAGCTGGCTGGACCAAGCACCCTGAAGAGGCGAGCGCCACCGGTGCCAATCCTCACCACGGAGCAGAGCCCATCCCATGTGTGGATCTCATGCCAGCCATGCCGGGATCCATGCAGTGGCTGATTTCACCGCTCCCCCCCACACTGGGTGTGTCTCACCCCCACCTGCCTACCTGTGTCCCGGTCGGTGGCCCGGACCACCGCCACGGAGGTGCCAATCCCGGCCGTCTCCCGCAGCCCCAGGCGGTTGTACTGGCGCTGGGTGAACACCGGCACCTCGTCATTGACGTCCTCCACGTACACGATCACCTGTGGAACCCCCCGGAGAGCCCACGGGTGAGCAGGGCAAGCTTGTGAGCCCTCACCCAGCTTACACCGGTGAGGGGAAAATACGTCCTTCGTGGTGTTTGTGGAGAAACATTTCAGGGTGTTCAAGGCCGGGCTGGATGGGGCATGGAGGAACCTGGTCTAGCGGAAGATGTCCCTGACCATGGGGAGGGGAGGGTTGGAATGAGAAGAGCTTTAAGGTCCCTTCCAACCCTAACCATTCTAGGATTCTATGATAATCTCTTCTATAAACACCACGTGATGGAGAGTGAACACAAACGGTTTAACATCACAAATTTAAACAAGCCCTGTGGTTGGAGTGACTCAGTCCTTCCCTGGTGGGAGGGAGGTACACTGGGTACATCAATTCCTCTGTCCTTTGGGATCCCCTGCTCATAACCTTGGAGACCCCACAACACAGAAATGCTGGTGACTCGGTGGGAAATTTTGCTCAAAGTTCAGCAGGTCGAGATGCTGTTTCCCCAGGGAACCTGTTTTCTCCTCCTGGTTTTCTGCCTGCTGCTGGTGCTGTTGGCATGTCACACTCGGCCAGAGCCCATCCCACCACTGAGTCTAAAAATAGATGCAACTGGAGGACTGGGTCGGTGGGAACCATGGGAAGCTGGTGTGTCACAGCTGAAGATTATCACCACTGGGTCCTGGATTATTTAAATAGATGCCTGGCCAGGAGACACAGTTTTCAACAGGCTAAGGCCCAGCTTTTCCTCCCGGCAGCAGACCTGCATCTCACCGGGCAAGCAGGTGAGACAGAGACTCCCTCTGACAGTGATTGCAGCCCACTTAGCAGCCTCATTGTGCCAAAATGTCACAGGAAAAAAGAAAAAAAACCCCAAAAACCCCTTAACAAGATCTTCTCCACCCACGGGCAGCCCTCGGAGACTTTCCGTCAGCATTTCCATGTCAGCTCTCTCTAATTTCCTGCACAACTGCCAGGGCTGGAAAGCATCCTAAATATTTTGCACAGACTCCCCTGCTGTCCAGCCCTTGGAGGCTGTGAGGTGCTTACCCGCACGGAGCTCCTCATGGGTCCCTGCTCCGTGTTGTAGGCCTCCACCTCCAGGACGTGAGAGGAGTTCTGCTCCCGGTCCAGGTGCCGCACACCGCGCATCACCAGCCCGGTGCTGGGGTTGATGCGGAAGTGGTTGTGCTCGTTTCCTGGCAGGGGGAGAAAAAACGAGAGGGATGTTGCCCACTGCCCTTACATCCATCCTGGTGACACACTGAGCCCTCCCCAAGGGGCTATTCTAGAAGAAGATTACTGAGCACAACCCCAGACCCACCACTTCCTGCTACATCAGGCTCAGCTACATCAGGGTTTGGCCCTGGGACAAGCCAGGAGGAGCTACAGAATCTCATCAAATAAGAACAACATGGATCTGTTGGGGTGAGTCCAGAGGAGGCCATGAAGACGCTCCAGGGTCTGGAGTACCTCTGCTAAGGAGCCAGGCTGAGAGAGCTGGGGGTGTTCAGCCTGGAGAAGAGAAGGCTCTGGGAAGACATTAGAGCCCCTTCCAGTGCCTAGAGGGGCTCCAAGAGAGCTGGAGAGGGACTTTGATGAAGGGTCTGAAGGGACAGGACAAGAGGGAATGGCTTCCCACTGCCAGAGGGCAGAGTTAGATGGGATATTGGGAAGAAATTCTTCCCTGTGAGGGTGGGGAGGCCCTGGCACAGGTTGCCCAGAGAAGCTGTGGCTGCCCCATCCCAGGCCAGGTTGGATGGGGCTTGGAGCAACCTGGGCTAGTGGAAGGTGTCCCTGCTTATGTCAGGGAATTGGAATGAGGTGGTCCTTAAGGTTCCTTCCTACCCAAACCATTCTGCAATTCTAGGATTCTATCTATTGTCCATCCTCGACAAATCATCCCCCAGCAATTAACACTAGTGCTGGAATTACGCTTAGGGGTGGGGGAAATGTTTCTGTGGGCTGCAACGTGCAAAAGGACGGAGAGTACAACCTCCTGAGGCTGCACATGTGGTTGCCAGAGCCTGGTACAAACCCACCGATGCACAAGGGGGCACTTGGACTTACCCTTGACAATCCGGTACCAAACTCTCCCATTAATGCCTTCATCCGCGTCTGTGGCCTTCACCTTCATGAGACAAGAAAAGCAGCGAAGGTGAAGGGCAGAGAAACTCAGACTGTGACAGGTCCCCCCACCCTGCCGAGGCTGGACATCCTGCTCCTTCACCTGAGCCAGGGAGCTTATCAGCTGCAAAGTAAAGTAAGTTATCCTCCCCTCATCATCAGACAGCAGGGATAGTGGGCTTGGGTTTGCTGCTGGATGGATTGAAGTGGGAGCTGAGCTTGAGGACTGTGCCATGAAGCCCAGGGGTCTGTGCACTGGTGGAGGTGCCTCCATGGATCCTGCCCTGCACACCAATGCTTGTCCCAGTGGCAATGCCATTGGGATGGGGTATTGCTGGGATGATTTGAGCTGGGCAGGGAGAGCTGCTCCCACATCAGGTGGGCACATAGCCCACAGCATCCCAGCGAGTCACCCAAGCAGCAGCATATGTAAAACCTGCCAAGAGAAACATGAATGCAACCAGCCTAGAGCATGCTGGTGCTCAGGCTGAGCCCTCATGAGCCCCTGGGCAGTGGTGGGAGCACCCCTTAGCTGTGATGCACTGCACAGTCCCGGCATGCACTGAATAACCATTTGTCTGTCCTGGGAAACCCAAGGCATGGGTCCCCTCCGGTGTCACTGAACAAGACTGCAGTGCTTTCCCTAAAAACCCAGCCAGCAGCCACCTCCGGCAGCTGGGAAGCGGGACCTGGTGGGGAACAGCAGGACGGGGCTCACGACCCAGCTGGCACTGAGCTGCTGCATCTTCTCTCTGCAAACCCAACTTCCCACAGAGCATCCAAAGCTCGACCGCAGCGTGGCTGCATGGAAATCACCACAGTGAGGACACAGGGAATGCCTTGGCCTTTATCCTCCTCCTATTTCCCTCTGCAAGGCATCTTCTGCCACATCTTTTCCCTATAATGTTACCCAGCAGTTTTGTTTTCCCAGGCAGGTGGGGGTTTGCACCCAGACTGGCGCTGGAGAGAGGAAGTGTGGCTGCAAAGGATGTATGTGCAGTGGGAATGGTGAGGGCTTCCACCACCAGCCCCACAACACTTGCAGGAGTCAAGAGATGCTCTTCTGAAATGTGTCTGTGAGATGCTTTGAACTGCTCTTGCTCCCTTCCACCAAAACACCCTGAGTCAGCAGAAGTCTTGGAAAATACTGACCTCTGCATTTGTAAACTCTCTGGATTTCTCATCCCTGCACCACACATGCTGTTTTCCTCTGTCCCAGACCAGATCAGATCTTGCTTGTGGCTTATTCCACATTCTAACATGGACCCAGACACCTTCCTTTCACAGTGGGGAGTTCCCCCTCCCAAACCAGCTCTTCCACCCTGAGGTTGTCTCTGGGCAGGAACTGGGCTGTCTCCTCTCTCATGGGATGGATGGGCCCCACAGCAGCAGGCAAGTGATGCCCAGGCAGACCGGCTGCCTTGGCATGGCACTGGCTCCCTCCTGGGAAAAGCTATCATGCAGCCAGAGGAGGAAAAACAAAGAGACGGGAGGCAAAGCTTTGCAGCTTTTTGTGCCATTCCCTGAGCTGCTGCGCTCAGGAAAATGCATTTCAGGATGAGCCAACTGCACCCTGCAAACACCCCTTGAGCCATCCTCTTCCCAGCTCACCCCAAGTGTTTCCTGCATGAAACTTCAGCAAATAAATGGGGAGTTTGGGTTTTGTTAAAACCCAGTAGTTTGCATTAAAGCAACTCGTGCTCCTGCCAGCCTGCAACCTGGAAAAAGCTTGGCTGCTGCCACTTTGACCCACTGAGGTCCCAGCGGAGAAGTGGTGATTTGACACTGTCCCAAACTTGGGAAAACAATGGCACTGGAGTGCAAGCAGTGGGAGAAAAGCTCCTTCTGCTGCAGTTGGAAGGCACCTTGTGCAGCTGAGTACCAGTGTCTCAGCCTGCTTTATCCCTCTGCTGTCCTTTTCACAGCCCCCTTTCAAACACCCCCAGTTACTGGAAAGGTGTCAGAAAAGGAGCGGGGGGCAATAAAAGAATGGGAAAAGAATAGAGCTGGTAGGAAAACGGGGAGCAGGCACATGGCGGGCAGCCCAACACCTCCTCCCCAGCACAGGGGGCTCGGCCCAGAACGTACCATTTAGCCTTTCCACAGGGACAAAGCCTGGGAAACACATCCCCAGGGGGCTCGACCTCTCACTCCAGGGGGACACAGCTCCGGGGCACTGCGGCACTGGCAGAGCCCGGGAAGGGGCTCAGGGCCCCTCGGCTTTGCATGCTCAGGCTGTCCCCATCTCTCTCCCACCCTCCCAGAAAGGAGGAGGGGGCTGGCAGCCGGCAGAGTGCGGTGGGAGAGGCGCAAGGCAGGCGTGCGGAAGTCAGAGCCCGGGCTCGGCCAGCCGGTGAGAGGTAGGGAGCCCGAACCCCTGCAGCAAACCCAGAGCCGGCCCCTCGGGCTCTCCCCGAGGGGTGAGAGACAGACCCCCGGCTGTGCCTTCAGCCCTCCAGCCTCCCGGGGAAAGAGCCGCAAATGGGGGGAGATGCAAAGTTTGGGGTGGGCGTGAGGTCAGGTATCCCTTCTCCCTCCCCCGCTTCGCGTTGCTTTGTCTGTCCCGCTGGTGGGAAAGTCCTGTGGATGCAGCTCTGCCGCTTAACAACCAGGGAGATGGGGAAAAGCATCACTCACAGTCCTCTGCTTTCGGTACCCACTCATCCGGGTCGGGAAGCTGGGTGTTTGGTACACTCCAGCATCACCTCCTCCCGCACGTGGAAAGACTTAGTGCGCTGGGAAAAGCTGGGGAGCTCCAGGAAAGCGCCGCTAAGCAAGACAGGGAAGGGAAATGGAGCTGCTTTTCACCTGAGCTCTGTTACAGGCAGTGCCTGAAAACAGCGTTTTCCTTGCAGGTTGAGGAAAGGAAGAGAGAGCATATGGAAAAGCTCACGCCAAACTAGGCAGCTGGGCCAGGCCAGGGAGCAGTGCCTGGTGCTGGGCAGGATAACCCTCTCCACTGCTCATGCATGACAACTATTTCTTCTTCCTTTCCACCTTCCCCAGGGGCATTTTACCTTTTGCAATTTCTCATCTTTCCCTCTGATCCTCAGCTGCCTCACGCCCACGGCTGGGTCCTGAGTGCTCATGGGGATGTGTCATGTTTGGAACTGATCAGGCAGGGATGAGCCTTCTGGGGAGGATTTCCAGGAAGGACAAGCCTCGTGTTAACCCACCAGGGTTGATAATGTGGGGCTTGGGTGGGACAGTGATGCTATGAAAGCCCAGACTTTCTCTGGACCTGAAGCTCTGCCGCTGATCTGGGCATGAGGAGAGGCTGGATGGGAAGCAAGAGAACAGGGCATGGCTGCAAAAGCCTGGGAAAACATCAGTTACCCCTCCTGATGGGTTTCTATGGAACACTGTCAAGTGAATTTAAAACACAAACTGCAGCCAGGACCAAGGGAGTGAAAAACAGCCTGAAGGAATTGCCCACGCCTCCCCGTTGGCTCTTAAGGAACAATGTAAGGTCACCAAGCTGAACACGTGCAGTCAGTAAATGCCAGCGTTGAGGTAGCCCTGGAAACCTTGATTCAGGCTGCCTTTGGTGTGGGATATGCTGCAGCCCTGCCTGCTCATTTTCCATGCCCGGGCAGCACAGAGGAACAGCTTGTACATGGAGCAGGGGGTCCTTGGGATGGCTGCTCTGCTCCCAAAGCCGAGGGGAAGGGGCTGAGCCAGGCAAGGAGCAGCTGCATGATAAAAAAAGTACTTTTGGGGTGAAGAGAGGGGAAAACATCACTTTGGAGGAGATGACAAGAGCCCTACTCCGTGGGCCTGCTTGCAATACACACACGGATTCTGTCACTGTTCTCAGATGCTGAGAATTTTTGCAATTCCCATTTTCCAAGCACAGACCTGGCTCTGACCCATGGAAACAGCTACATCTCCCCAGAGCCCCCAAGCTCTGGGCAGTCTGATACAGTCCTTGCCCTGAGGCTGCCAGCATCACAGTCTGGAAGCTCAAGCCCAGGTAATGCAAAGTATTCCAGAAATAAAACACATCTCCCTAGTGCCTCAAACCCGGCACCCAACTCTAGTGGAAACCTCTGACCTTGTTCCCTCTGTATCTCAGCTCATTGTCTGGAGCACAGATCCTGCAGGAGAGATCCTGAGGCAGGGTCCTGGCAAACCAGAGCTAGGAGCTCACCCATGTAACCCAGAGGGTACAGTTGGGGCACGAACAGCCCAAGTTCAAGGGCTCCTGACCCCCTCAGCACTCAGCTTTGCAGGTCCCAGAGTGTTTGCTGAAGGTTGTTTCCTCCTGCGTAATTCAGGCGGTGAGCGATGCTCGTCTCTCCTGAGACAGCACCTCGCTTTCCACGAGGCTTGTCTTCACCAGGGTGTCTCATAGTTTCCAAACAACAACGAAAGATATGTCACTGATGTTCTTCCTCCCCTTTTTGAGTGTTTTACAGTGAATGTTTGGCTGCTGCCTACACACACCTGCGTGACTTTGGGATGGTGGCTGCAAGAGCAGACCCAGAGACCCTGGCAGTCCCTGCAGCCCTGCCTTTCCCCTCCAAGGTCTTAATTTTAAATTGGCTCAATCCAAATCCAAACTCGCCAGGAGGCTGCCCAGCCACAGACCAGCCAAACAGCTCTCCATCACTCTTCTACCTCCCACTTCTCTGTAGGAGAGTAACAAAGCTTTACCTCCAGCGTACAGGCTGGAGCACCAAGGCCATGGCAGAGAGTTGGCACAGCAAGGTTTTCCCAGCCCTCATCTCTGAGCTGAGGGGATGCCAGCCTCTGGCACAGCCTATCTGGGACTGGAGGGTGCATGGAAGCTAAAAAATGGGTACAAACTGCTCTTGGGAGGATCTGACCAGGCAGGGAAAGGAGAAGACAGTCACCATCAAGTGTTAGGTAAGAGCTGTCATCCATGAGGCTTTGGGAAGCTGCTTTGTATCACTCTGCAGAACTGGCTGAGAAACCTGTGACATGTCTGAACCTGAAAGCAGATCAGTAAAATGCCTGACACAAGGATTTTTGGTATGAGCAGGGTAAGGGTGTTACATTTCACCCCTGCAAAATAATAAAGGCAATTCCAGTGCAATACCACAGCTTGATGGGGAATTACCAGGGCAGAGCCTTAACCAAGTATCCGATTTCCTTGGGGGAATAATCAAAAACCCCTAAATGCCAACCAATCCAACAAACCCACATTTCTGGGGAACAGAGAAGAACCAAACTCCAGCAGCCTAGAGGGAGGGTTTTGGATCTTCTGCAGTGCATGGATATTTATCTCTTCCAGAAGATCTTCATGCAACATGTGCGTGCTCCCTAAAGGTGTCCTCATAGGGCCCATGGCACCATGTGTACATAGCACTATGTGTGCTAGATTTCTTTGCCAGGTGGTTTTGCACTTCAGTTCAGGGAGGTACTTTGCAGGTATAAATCCCATCTCTGTGCTTTGTCTCCTGGGACCCCCTGTCTCCCTGTGTCACAGAAAACATGGCTGGGAAAATCCTGCACATCAAGGCATGACAAGAATCCATCAATTTAACCACAGGGTGGCTGCCTGTCCAGCTTCTAGGTGGTATGATCCTGAGATTAGCTCAGTTGGTCAGAGCATGGGGCTAATAACACTGAGGTTGTGGGTTTGATCCCTGTATGGGCCACTCACTTAAGAGCTGGACTTGATGAGCCTTGTGGGTCCCTTTCAATGCAAAATATTCTGTGAAATCTGTGTCACTTCTCTGTATCACCTTGTGCACTGCAGGGAAGATGAGCACAGAGGACTCTAGCAATGGGACCTCTCCCACCCCGCCTCTCCTTGGGCTTCTGGTTTCAACCACGGAGCTGGTCCCACCCAGCATCCCATCCCCTGAGATGAGAGACCCACTGTCTGTCATCGTCGCACTCGTCTGCATCTTCCTCCTCCTGGTGACCTTCCTCATCTTTGTCACCCTCTGCAAGCCAGCAGCGCTGGACCAGTCCCTGTCTGGACCCCGGGAGTGGATGCCCCACCACCCATTGGATGCCAGTGAGCCCCAGCTGAGGCTCTGGAAGCGCCTGGGCTCCCTGCGGGGCTCCATCAGCAGCTTCAGGAGAAGCAAGCCAATGTCTCAGAGCCAGCTCTCCTGCCCCAGGAGCTCCCCTGCCAGACAGGACTGGGACATCATGGAGTCCACCAAAATGTGATCTCGCTCTGCTGTTCTTTCCCAAGCTTTTGGTTCAGGCTCAGTTCCTTCCTCAAGCATCCCTTGGTATCCTGGGCACCCTGTCAGAGCCCCTTTGAGCAACTCATTTCCAGGCAGTGGCTCTGTGAGGCAACAGGAGATTTTGCAATTTCAGGTTTCCAAATGCTTTCCAGGTTACTGTTTCCTGTCAGGAAAGGTGGAGGCATCCAAACTACACCCACATGCATCTATAACCAAGCAGCCAAAAAAAAAATCCTGCTGCTTCATTTCTTTTGGAAAACATTGTGCAAATTGTGCTGCACCTGAACAAACAGCTTGGAAGAGAGTGGAGCAACCTGGCTGCCTAAAGAGGGGCATCCCAGGGCAAACCTGCTCCACAAAAAAGCAGTCCTCAGCTGAGATCTCCCCACTGAGCTGTGCTCCTGAGCAGGTGGAGGGAGGCTCGTGTCCCCAGTGTGCTGCCTGGTCCCTGCCTCCCCCCTTCTCATGCACCTCACTGGGCTGCCTGGGACATTCCTGCTCTCTGGCCCTGCACTGCCTGGCTTTGGGAGAAAGGGATGGGGAAACATTCAGAAACTGTCCTGTTGCCACAGGGACGTGGGGATGTATTTGAAGGGAGAGACCTTCTGTAACAAATGGTTCACACTGAAGGTGTAAATTAAAGCCAGGTGATGACCCATTTCTGTTTCCCTCTGGTGTTGTTCTGCAGAAAACAAACTTCCCCCAAATACCTCCTCTCCTTTGCCACAAAGGGCCACTTGCAGGGATACCCCCCTCTTTTGGGAAGCGAGTTCTAAGAAAAGGCACTTTGATGCCAGTCAGACTCGAGTTTCCTCCATTCTTTTGATTTGCAAAATCAGCTCAGATTAAGGAGTCCCAGGCAGGGCTTCCCTCTGCCTACAACTCCACTCTGGGACTACGGGCAGCTGCCTGACCCCAGAGACATCACCTACACCGTGCCACAGCACAACAGGTGATGAGGAGCCACAGCACTCCTGCTTGGGGACGGGCTACCCTGAGCATGACACACGGCTCCTAGCAAATCTTTGTTGCAACAGGCAAAAGGCTCCTTTCTTCTCTCCCCGTGACTCACCCTGCCTGCCACAGCCGGGGACAAAGCTGCCCCTTTCCTTGTGCTGGGAGAGGTATTCAGGCAGGAGGAGCCTTCCCAGGGCCCTCTGCAAAGAGCCTTTGGTGCCCGCTCCAGAAGAGCCCTGGGTTTGAAGGGATGCTGGAAGGCCTGGGAGGCCGGTGTGAATGCCTGCATTCATTCGCTGCTCACTGAGCCATTCAGCCCTGCCACTGCTCCCTCAAAGAGAAACAAAAATGAAAGCAGAGTCCAAATGCTTTTCTCCCTCCGTTTTTTCAACCCCTCTTCGAGCATCTCTTTGCAGACACTCTTCTCCCTCCCCCTTGAGATCTCTGCCTTGTGAGAAGGGAGAAAGCAGGGATGCAGCCAAAGTGGCCTCGCCAGCACAGGGCTTGGCTTTTCCCCTCTCACCCCCCTGCAGAAATGGGGTGAATTTCTTAATTTTCCTTTGTTCTTTGCTGCCTTCTCCCCAGCGCTCACAGCCTCTGTGAGCAAGAACACACCTCGCTCACACACACTTCTCCAGGGGAAGACACCACTGACAGAGAGAGAAAATCTCTGCCCTGGGCTTCCTGCAGCTCACAGTTAGTGGGGGGACCCCCTCCTCCCACCCAAGGGTGGAAAAGCCACGTGCCTGTACTATGCTGCTGGCGGCCGGGATGTCCTCAGGGACGCTGACTTCGTAGCTGCTCTGGAGGAAGATGGGCCGGTTGTCGTTGACGTCCAGGACGGTCACGTACACGGTGGCAGTCCCGGTGCGCCGGTTCCCGGTGGGGCCGTTGTCTGTATGGGAGAGAAGGGGAAGGAGGGGAGGTTCAGTCACCTCCACCTCTGAACTAAAATCCTTTGTCTTTTCTGCAGCTTCCAAATCCCACGCTGAACCACGGGTTTGGGTGTTTTGGTTTTTTTTTTTTCCTTTCCTATCCCGAAAGGAAAAGGAAAAGCCAAACCATCCCCAAGCTCTGCCAAGGAGCCCAGCGAGGCTGGAAACGCAACTGGTCGATAGAGAGGATTTGCAATTCTGTACACTGAGTAATGTGCGCTGGAAGGGACTGCTGGAGGCCAGGGATCTGGGAGATGAAGACAGGTAGGGGTCTGGTGAGTTTTCTATAGCCACAGCTCAGCTTATAGTCAAGGAGCACCAGGATACGTTGATGTTCCATACACAAGGACATGGCAACGTGGCTCTTGGATTTGCAGGAAGGATGAGGCACTGGGAAGCATTGGTTGGGTTTGTTTTTTTCAACATGCCTGATGCAGTGAGTGCTAAGCCCACCCAGCTGGAGCCCATGGGATCTGGTTCCTGGGAAAACACAGGCAGCCTGACATCCATCGGAGGAACATAACAGACCCTTTACCCCTTGGGATCTGGTCCTGTGTGCCCAGCTGGTGCAGCATCTCTGCTGCAGCTCCCGTGGCACCTGCGATGCTGTGCCCCCGAGATTTCTGACTGGCCACTTATTTCTCCTTTCAAAAGGGGCATCCAAGTGGTCTGTAAAGAGGCATGTCATTATAAAGCTCTGGGGGTGACAGCCAAGCTGTGTTTGGCACACGGGCCCTCTGCACGTGCCAGGTGGCTCAGGGTTAATCAGCAGCCATGGAGCCAAGGCTGGCATGGATTAGGGGAAGGTTGTTGTGGTGCTGGCATTTTTGGGTGGAGGGCTGCCCTGGACAGTGCAGAGCCTCTCAGGATTGGGGGGCCCCACCTTCCCCAGGGGAAAGGGGCTGGGCAAACCTGAGAGGTGAATATACTGTCTGAAGAAGTTATGGTGGGACCAGGACATACTAATTCACGTGAGTTGTGAAATGTTAACACCAAGCACAGGCTGTGGTTTACAGAGTGCCTCAGAGGTTGCTGCCTCTCTGACACACCTGCACAGCCACGCCATGGAGCTGTGTGGCAGTGGTCCCATGGGATCAGTGGGAAATCCTTACCAATGGCTTCCAGGATCAGCGTGTATGATGCCACGGTCTCCCTGTCCAGACTCACGACTGTCCTGACCACCCCATCCCTGAAGCCAACGCTGAATTTGCCATCCTGGTTCCCACCTGCAGCAAAGGACAAGGACCAAGGAATCATAGAATCCTGGAATGTTTTGGGTAGGAGGAGACCTTAAAGATCATCTTGTTCGATCCCCTGCCATGGGCAGGGACACCTTCACTAGACCAGGTTGCCCAGAGCCCCACTCCAACCTTGGACACTTTTAGGGATGGGGCATCCACAACTTCCCTGGGCAGCCTGTTCCAGTGCCTGACCACTCTTTCAGTGAAGAAATTTTTCCTAATATCTAATCTGAATCTTCCCTGGTGCAACTTGAGGCCATTTCCTTGGATTCTGCAGCCTGGGCACGGGGTCAGCCCAGTTGTGGAAGGATGATCTTGTATCTTGTCCTAGGCAGAGCTGCTCTGCAGCAGAAGTGGGCAGAGCACCTTCCCTCTGCCTCATGGAATGCTGTGCCAGCCTCACAGAACCAATGGCCGTAGGAAAAGCTGAATCATAGAAGGGTTAGATCATTTCCTGAACGCTTTGGAAGCAAACTGGAGTAACGCTGCATGTGAACTGTGGTACCTGTGGGACAACACACCCTGTTTCACTCGCAGTGAGGCCGGAGGGGCTGCGACATGAATCGCCAGGCTACTGTGGAAAAAAGGACTCTCTGCTGACACTTCTGCTTTCACCCTCTTCCTGGGGGCTCAATGCCACACATGCAGTTTGCAAATCAAAGCGTGGCCAGGGGGTTCCCCGGTCTCCTGTTGCAGGAGCTGCAGCTGCAGTGAGAGCTCAGCACTGCCCGGGTGGCGTCGCTGCCACTGAACCCCACCGCCACACGGGGATACAGAGTGCCCCAAAATTCCATTTATGGCTTCCAAGCACAAGCACATGTGAATGCCACCCCAGCCCTTGCTCCCCAGCCATGTCCTGCCCATCCTCATGCCCTTCCTGGCTGTGTCCCAGGGATGGTGGGGGTCAGTGGTCGCCCCCAGGCAGGGGACAGCAGAGTGGTCAGCATGGCAGGAGCCAGGCGGGGCTGTTCAGCAGAGGGCGATGCCGGACAAGGTTTGCAGGGGCTGGGAAAGGCAGCGCTGAAGTGCAGAACACCCTGGCCAAGGTCTGGGGCAGCCCTGCAGCCAAAGCTCCTGTTTCACATGGGGTTCATACCTGTGATGAAGTAGCTGAGCTCGGCGTTCAGCCCCACATCAGCATCCGTGCAGTTGAGCCGGACCACTTTAAAATCCCGGGCCACGTTTTCAGGCAGCGACACGTTGTAGATGGCTGGGAAGAAGGTGGGGTTCTCATCGTTCACGTCCAGAACTGAAAAGGGGAGCAGAGTTGAGTGTCCCCCTCCAGGGCTGCCCCTCCTGCAGAGGCCAGGCTGATGTCTGCCGGGCTCCCAAAGCTCCTGTCTGCTGTCCTGAGCATCCCAGGGAATGCTCTGCCCGACTCTCTCTGGCATTTGTGTGGTGTGGGTGCCTGCAGAGCAGCTGTAAGGACTGGTCCCCACAGCTGCAGGCTGTATTTACCAGCCTCTGATACATACAGATCACCCTCCTCACAGCCAAAAAACCCCCACCTTACGTCACTGTAACTCAATTCAGTATTTGCACCAAACCCATTTCCATGCCCATTTGAAGAGAAAGCTGGGGCTTAAATATAAGGTCAGTATTTCCTGGTGTATGGCAGAGAGCTCTGGAGGTACAGGATCAGGAACTTCTTTTCCAAACTCAAGCCCGAGGACAATCCAGGGTCAGTTTATTTCCAGATGATGCTCATCCTCAGCCCTAGGCTCACATGAAGCCAGTAAACAGCAACGCATTAAATTAAAGACAGACCACGCAATATGGTCCAGCTCTGAACTGGGAGTGCGTGGGCTATCCAGGCACACAGCTGATGGGAATCACATGCTGAAGCAAAAGACAGGCTGAAAGGAGAAGCAACACTGGGGATGGGGGAATGGAGGAAAAAACAACAGAGAATTTGGGGGCCCTGCCAGAAAGACCATGTTTTCCCCGTCTCTGCACTGTGCTGATGGCAGACACAAAGCCTGTGGGGACAGCAGAGCAATGGGCTGCCCTCCCTGCATCCTGTCGTACACAGAACCAGACAGGATCCTGTTTTCAGATCATAGATCCGTCTGATTCCTCTGCGTGTCTCCCATATAAACCACGTCTCCTCCAGCGAGGAGTCCTTGTCACCGAGGGACGGAGGGGTCTGTGTGTCTGGGCATGGCGCAGAAGGGTCTCGGTGCCCCCACCTTTGACAGTCAGGGTGCTGGTGGAGCTCTTGGAGGGCACGCCGGCGTCGCTGGCCACCACCCGCAGGTAGTACTGGGCGATCCTCTCCCTGTCCAGCACGGCTGTGGAGGTGATGAGCCCGCTGGTGCTGTTGATGAGGAAATCCATGCGGGGCATCCCCACCTGCATGCGGTACGTCACCTGCCCGTTCGGGCCCTCGTCCAGGTCGATGGCCACTACCTGGGGGGGAGAGCAGGGGGGAGCCTGAGCATCTCCTGATAAGGAAAATCAGGGTACAGAAACCCCGAGTGTTTCTTTGCCCCCAGGGATGCTGGGATGAAACGTAAGGGCCCTCA